GATGATGATAATAATAATAATAATAATAATAATAATAATACATGTACTAGATTCCTTTTACATAACGCTCTATCCCATGAAAATATTATATCCTCTGAGCCCCTGATTCTATCCAAGAGTATGTTGCATTACCTCTCTACAGAATGTTGAGGACAGAAATTTCTTCATGGATGCCATAGTGACGGACAAAGGGGGAGAAACGGCTGAGGTGGTCTATTTCATCACTGTCTGCGACGCCAACGACAACCCACCCTTCTTTCTGCAAAACTCTTACGTCTTTGGAGCCACGGAATGCACAGACCCAGGATCTGTTTTAGGTAACTCCTGATTTTCCGACACTGCTTAAAAATTAAAACGATAGTGCGGTCAAAAATTCGTGGCGCAACTTTTCCTCAAATATCTCTTTCACGGGTGAATCAATGTCACTCATACTTTTCACAGCAGTTTGTATGAATTTGCCTTAAACGTAATCATATTTTTCCATAACAGTTGAGGCTAGATTTTAAAACTTTTCTTCAAAAATGCATATAAAGTTCTATAAATCTCCGCCACGCGGAAACTAGGATTGTTCACAGCACCTCCCGCTTCTCACACACATTTTGTATACGCATATCGCCCACGCCATAGCTCACCAATTTTTAGTGGCAAAACTTTTTATAAGAAATTAATTTCACAGTGAACATATTTTGCCCTAAAGGTTCTCAAAACGTGCATTCAATTGAGATAGTGTCACGATTAGAGAAAAACATTGACGGACTATCTTTTAAAAAGCGATACTACTACAGCTGTAAACCTTTTATAGTCAGTAGAAACCACCCACTTGGGACTTTTAAAATTAGTATAGGAATTTTCTAGAATACAGTTAGCAGGTGTTTACAAAATGTTGATCTGTTAAGAGAAATTGATACAAGTCATTGTGCAAAAGCTGGAGAGTGTATGTTCGATAATTTGGGAAATATGTGACAATAAGTTGTGCCATGAATTTTTGACCGCATTAGGCCTACAGTCGAAGTTTGTTATGTGTGGTTTCTCACATTGTTTTCAGCTGCAATAGTGAGAAATTACTGACATGACAGCGAAGGGGTAGAACCACGTAGCAAAATCCCCACTCCTTGACAGGATCAGGGGCTCAGAGCTTATGCGTATAGAGCGCTATGTAACTGCAATCTATTATTATCATTAATTGTTGTCATCATTAATATTTTCACCATCATCATCATCATCATTATCATTGTAGACTGCACCCCACCCCACAACAACAACAAAAAAAAGCTGGTGGAGATTATGGAGAATTTCAACAAGTTTATACGTTCACCGTTTCGCCATCTTAGGGCTTCGTCATAAACATTTTAAAAATATAATATTAATAACTAGATTAGAACCACACCATGGAAATTAAAGTGCGAACACATACGTCACAATGCCCAAAGGTGCATCATTATCATATCATCATTTTATGTTTATGCATCGTGAAACAATGATTTTCATCCTGGAATTTGCCCAAATTTTTGGAGTACATTCTGTTAAATCAGGAGGACGTTAGATTAGTGTCATGACATCCATTGCCTGCATTAACGCTCACAGTAGGCTTATGTTTCATTTCCCCCGACTTTCCTTGCCTATAAGAATTGGTATGCTTTGTCGTCTTGGTTTCAACCTGTATGTTCATCTGATTATTCTTTCCCTCGCTTATAAAAAAAACCCGTCTAGAACACAGATCCATTTTATTTCACTTGTTTCCATTTCAATGATTATACCAACGTTATAATACCAATGCCAGACCTGGACATAAAGTAAAACCCGTGAAAGCAAAACTGCTGCAAACGAGATACCCTTTCAAAACCCTTAACATCATAAGAAGAGACAGGCAGAGAAATAAAGTTGTAAGAGCAATCGTTTGCGCAGAGTTTTGTCTGCATTTCATAAACAAATAAAAACTAAAATGTTTCGGTCACCTGTTACGAATGTTTCTTAGTCAGCCAGTCCCGCAGACGATGAAGGAAGAGGAAGGCTACGCAAAAGAAAGGAATCCTGATAAACTACAACATCTCAATTGAAAGAGCTGCAGAATTGACATACCATAAAAAAAACTGCATCTCCCCTCAACGCTCGACGGCAACAGAGAATTAAAAAATTGTAAAAGTTACATTCTCTGTTTCAGAGTCCATGTCTGTCGAAAGCAAAATCCAAGGCAGAAGGTATTCGGAGACGTCTCCGACGAGCACCCAGGAACTATTCGTAGTCTCACTCCCGTAAACAGGTGCTCTGCTTTGGGGAGTCAAACTGCATAATATTATTTGCTGCAGATCACACATATAGCCGCTAAAACTGTCGCAAATCAATTATTTTCAAGAAAATGTCAAACTTAGTGCTAAATACCAAATTATGGGTTAAAACAGGGGATAGCCCCCAAGATTTTTTTACTTGGTCTAGAGGCACAAAGCAACTTAATTGGTCTATCTCCGTCGGAGACGTCTCCGGATAGATACTGCGAAAATTCAACCGCAGTATCTAGCCGGAGACGTCTCCGACGGAGATGGGCCTAAACAAATCAAAATGCTTGCTTTGTGCCTCTGGACAAAGTAAACAGAAAATCTGGGGGCATGCCCCTCCCCCCCCCCCTGTTTTAACCCATAATTTGATATTTTGCAGGTAGGTTTGAAATTTTCTTGAATATAATTAATTTGCGACAGTTTTAGTGGCTATATGTGTGATCTGCGGCAAACAATACGCAGTTTGACCTGTGTGCGGGAGTAGACTACGTCTCCAAATAGTTCCTGGGTACTCGCCGGAGACGTCTCCGAATATCCTTCTGCCAAATCCAACAACCTTAACTTCACAATGGATTCTTTTTCTTCCCAGGCCAAGTACAGGGGGATGATGATGATTCAGCTTTCCAGAACAATGATGCAATCTACTTCGGAGGTGGTGGTGGCAAAATGGCAGTGACCTCTGACGGCCAAGTGATTCTCACTCAACCTTGTGTCGATGGAGAAGTCTCCTCTGGTACGTTTTTTTAGCCTTTTTTGTTTCACTATTTTCCTTTTTTCTCTTCTCTTTTCACGTTTTAACAAAAGAAGTAGGCCTACTCTAACCAAGGGAAAGCTTTACGATGTGAGAAAACGGCAAAAAGACATTAGACTAATATAAATGACTGGAAATGCTGGACTTACTACGAAACTCCAGGCATTATTAGTATTAGCAGTCTTTGGTTTGGCAAAGGAAAGGAAATGACACAAAATCCAATAACTACATACACTGTAGAATATACTTACAATAACATCCGAACATACGAGGGTTTTGGTTCAAAAGAGAGGCAAGGGAATTTGACAAAAAGCATTGGGGCCAATTACTGTTCAGGTTAAGCGGGCAACGGATAGACATGCGGATAGATGATGAGATGGGTGAACAACAGAAGCTCGAGAAAACAGGTGAATGGCCATAGAGATTCCTTAAAAGACAAGAAAAAGGGAGAGAGAAAGAAAGATAGACCTAGAGAGAGACATTAGAGAGAGGGAAAGGGAGAGGGACGGATAGCGATAGACGGATAGAGAGATAAAAGAGAGAGAGGGGGGGCGGACAGACAAACAGACAGACAGGCAGACAGACAGACAGACAGACAGACAGACAGACAGACAGAGACAGAGATCTGGAGACAGAGATCGAGAGAGAGACAGAGAGAGAGAGAGAGAGAGAGAGAGAGAGAGAGAGAGAGAGAGAGAGAGA